GTGCTTCTTAAGTTTGGCCAACTTTCGCCTCCGAGCCTGTAATCTAAATTGCTGACGAAATCTTCGTTTTTGCACCCTACTTTTACTTACATATGAGGGCTGTGACATTGCTTGTGCCAGATGCCTCTCCCCATGAGCAAGACAAACAGCCGCTGATCCCCCACACCAACGGTTCTTCCTAGCCATGGTGGACTCGACCTCTCAACAGAACACCCGTCAAACTGGCCAACCTTCTGGGATGACACCGTAGGACCCAAACAGACCAGCCCGCAAAGAAGCCTACCCAGCTCACCCACGATAACGTTAGGGTCAACCACGTTACCGTATTCCCCTGCCGGTCGCCAAGGGAAGAGCCGCCCGCCCGCGGGGGGGAAGCTCAACGTCCCTTGAACCCAAACCGACAGGAGTCGCATGCTCCCGTTCTCCCCATAAACCATGCAAAGCAAAAATCCAGAAAATAAACCCCAAACCCGGAGAAACGCCGGACCCCGAAGGACCGGAATGGGTTCGCCCTCGCCCCGCAGATCACTCAAAACCAACTAAGCAAAAAAGACATTAACACTAGATAGCCCTTCAACCCCTTCATCAAGTATTCACAGCCCTCTCTACGCCATCTAGGCCCCAAGGTGCAGGCGAGGTTTTCCAGCGGCGCCCACGTGAAGGGCTGCATGCTTAGCCGCTGAGCAGGAAGATGATCTGGCTCAGCTGAGGGCCATTGCTGAGACTGATACCTTCATGCAAGTCCCATCGGATGAAGAATTGAAGGGGCGGAAGCTAGGGCCCCATCGTTTGTGACACGCGAACTCATCAGATTCGACCGCTGCCCTCCCTCCCAGGTCATGGACCCTCATTGGGCCTTCACATCAATACTCAAACATCGGTGTGCAGCCAAGACCTCAGAAAGACGGGTGCCAAAGTCATCAACGGCCGTCCAAAAAATGTTTGAGGCCCTATCAAAGATCTTTCTATGTTCCGCATGTGGATCCCGAAGTTTTGGCAGACTACAATGAAGCTTTCAATATGGAGTTTCAGGCTGGAAGCAACATTTTACACTTATAATCCAAGTAGTGGCATGGCCAGGTAGACAATAGCGCAAGAAAGGGTGTCACAGTGGGTTGGTGCAAGTTCACCAGCTTGGCTGAAGCGTTTGTCACTTAGAACTGTTTGCGTAGCATTTGCGATCCAGTTAGCGTGACCAAAACAATTGCTGAGGTACGACTCTGCAAAAATGATTGCAGGGTGGTCGACCGAAGAGAAATAGCTTGGAAGCGGACGGCCTGTCTGACTCCTCACAAGTGGCACACGATCATGGCTGGCCAAAAAGTCCATCATTATATATCATGCATGAGTCATGATCATGAAGCGTTTGCGTTCATATCTCGTGAAAGTTTGCGGTTTCTTATTTCACTGGGATGCATACACTCCTTGCTCAAGCCTCTTTTTGTAAATCAGTTGAGGGGTTGGGAAGGGATGGCACCCCCTTGTGGAGATTGGAGGAAGGGCCCACTTTCTTTGACGCAAAGCCATGTGAAAGCTTTGCTTGCTATTGGCGTGCCACTGATTGTGTTGACCCCTCAGCTTTCCAATCTCCCAATTTCACCTGAATGCTCATGAGACCTGTTGCCTCAGGGTACACCTCTGCGACTTTGTGGCACAACAGTCCGACATGCCCCGTGCCAGGGGCTTGTCACTGCGGCAATTTAGTCTACAGTGCCGACATGGAAAACTACAAGCTAGAGTCTAGACATAGTGTATGTTTTCTTGACTCTGGCTCATTCAGTCACCAAGGATCTGACCGCCTTCGACATCTTCGCCGGCCAGCGCTCAATCTCGAAGGGGTTCGGCTGGAAACTCATGGGACTCTGTTGCCAACTGGGTTGGTGATAACTTTCTTCGTAGCTAGCAGGTATGCAGTATATTTAGCGCACCAAAAACGGAGCCTCCAAAGAATAACTAGACCCTAGGCTCCCAAAACGGACCCTAGCGCTCCCAAAATATATAAATGCAAAGTTGCAAGTTCAGCTTGGCTCAGGCTCTGTTGGCGGAGTCTTAACGCCGACCCCTCAGTTTTTTCCATCGTTCATGAGACCTTTAAACCATTTATGTGCACGCAATAGATGCCATTCAAGCTAACTTCAGTGGGTTCTGGCATCTGTGAGGGAATACTGTGAGAAAGAACTCCGGGAAAAAGATGACCTCTTGACAACGTTTGGGACTTAGAATTATATTATTGCTTCTAGTTTTGGAGTTGCCACGTTGCCATGTGCGTGCGCATGAGGCGTGGCTTTATCAGAGCATTGGAGCACACATTGAGGCTGAAGGAGTTGGGCCTGCTCTTTGCGGGTTTGCCGTGCTGTAGCTTCATTTTTTTTGAACCTGGCGACCTCGCGGCGTTCACGAGAGACTCCCTTTGGAGATACTTTGAAAAAGTACGTATTCGATTCCAACGTGCATCTTATCTTGAATGCTAGCAGTCGTTGTTCTTTAAAAGGGATATATCACTTAAATGTTGATGTGCGCATTCCAATTAGGGTTCAAAAACTACTCATTGAGTTTGCGGAAACCCAGCTGTCCTCGATCTCAGGCTTGCAGCACGGCTTCTGATCCTGTGCGCCATTGCGGTTGTTCGTGGTGTTCACTGGGAGATTGAGCAACCAGGGTCTTCAACCTTCGTTCACTTTCCCTATCTCAGATGGATCAAGCGAATGCTTAAAGGATTTGTGGAGGTGAAGGTCTATCGCTTGTGGCTAGCTCAGAAACGGTCCATGAATATATATAATAAGCAAATTAAACATTGGAATGGCCAACTGGCCAAATACATATTATTCGATAGTCATTCCATGTAGCCTGCCCAGTTGGATGGCCTGGTATGGATCACGAACACCAAAGAGCACGTTGCTGATTGGCACCACGCTTGGACCTCACTTCGAGCGAGGTTTCTGGCGACACAATTTTTGGACACGTTTATATCGCAAGCCCTGTCCCCACCCCAACTTTACTCATGCGATCGCCACTGAACAGGCCATGGGCAGCCAAATTGTACAAGAAGTTGAGCTTCAAGGACCGTGTGAAACTTCAGTTGGACTCAACTGGAGTTACCAAGCGGTCTCAAAAAAATGGCAAATCAGTTGTGTTGGAATCCCAGTTCTTGTAGCGTACATATTAGCTGCAATCACTCCGCTACTCTATAATTGGTTTTACTCATAGGGGCTTGCCTTGCCCAGGTCTGGTGGCCCTCGCTTGAAAGAAACACAGGTCTACCCTGAGAAGTTTGGGGTTGCTGTGGCAAAGCACCACTTGAAGCTTATGGCACGGTTCTCAGACTATTGGCTTCCTCGTGAACAAGACCAGTCTAGTACTATCTAGATCTAGTACATCTACAGCTTGAGGAGCGTCGATCCAGCTTCAGAATGATTTCTGAAGTAAAAAGGCTGGCTAGCCAGGGGTGTGTTTTTTCCAGACAATGCTGAACGTCCCCTCTGAAAACCATGGCCACATCGTTGATTCATCTGGGGAAGAAGATATTGTCAGCGGTTCTAACTAGTATACAGTCTGCTTGTGGGAGGCAAAACGAAAGAAGGTGGGGCCCTACAAGTGGGCGCACGCTGAGCTGAAAGGCTTTGAGGGATTCCTTGTGGAAGCTGCTCAGGATGGCCGGTACACCCCAGCTTTCCCCCTTGACCTTTTCAATGGTCCTGAGCATGAACATGACTTTGCTAGCTTGTTCATGGGCTAGCTATACAGCAAAAAGGTCTAGGACGTTAATTCAAAATTAGTGAAATCATGGAAAATCATGCTGGAACCTGCCAGCGTGAAAACTCCGTGAGAAGTGCGTAAGTACTTAGTGAAAAGGCCGTGAAAAGCCCGTGAGATTGAGTGACTTGGGATTCGTAAAAAAAAACTTGATTTAATCGTACACTTTCGTACACGAACGAACTAGTCCACTGACACTCGTGATCGTACATCTATCGCTCGCAGCCAGTGATTGGATTTCTGAATAAAGGTAGGGCCTTGAGTGTAGTGATGGCACCTTTGAATATTGATCCTGTAGAAAAAGCCAAAGAAAGGGCTGCCAGAGCATCTCAAAAGTTGAATGGGCCATCGACTCAATTTCAAAAATGTATATGGATCGATATAATTAAGATCAATTTGCCAAGGTCAAACGCTGCCAGCGCGACAGGTCTTGTTCTTAGCCACACCCACGCCACCATCCCATTCCCCTTGGGCTCTTAGCCAGCGCCTGCACGAGCCCAGGTCCTGGCAAAAAGGAGCCAGTTGCCACACCGTGCCGGGCAGATTCCGTTCGTCGCAAGCTAGAGTTTGCGAAAGCGGATTCCCAGGAGACCTTGAAGTTTGGTTACAGTACAAGTATGGACACCAATGACAAAAAGGCTTGCAACAATCGATCGCGGACTGTAGACAAGCTTGATGAGACTCGTGAACCCAAAGGCAAAACAAAGGCTAGTCCAGCTTCGTCCAATCCCAAACAGGAGGTTGATCAGGCAGACTTAGGAAAGAAGGGCAAGCCAGAAGCAGGAAAGCCAACACCAGAGGCAGAGGGAGCAGAAAAGGAGCTAACGCCATCTGAGAGAACACGTCAGTTTCTGGCCAAACGGAGGGAAAGTAGAGAGAAAGGGGCGCTAAAGGAAGCGAAGACCACAGGTTCAGGCAAGAGTCAGGGAAAAACAAAAGCTCAGGAGGCTTCCAAGCAGGCAAAGAATAAGATCAGTAACAGGAGCAAGGTGATTAAGAATGGAAAGGCCAAGGTTGAAAAGAAGACAAAGCCTAGAAAGCCTGTTGCAAAGCCAAAGGCAGCATCAGCAAAGCCAAAGTCCGCACCAGCAAAGTCAAAGAGTTCCAGTAAGGAAGCAGCAGCATCAGCAGCGAAGGAAGCAAAGGCAGAAGCACCAGAACACAAGGATCCAAAAGCCACACCGGCTGATGGGGAGGGTGCATCAGAACATGTTGTCACTCCTGAGGGTAAGAAAAAGGCGCATGCTATGTACATGAAGTATTGGAGGTCTTTGAGGAGTTCCTGGGTTGCATGTTTAGACATATTTCTTGCGACCTTCGATAGTTTAGCCAAATCCTGGTTCCACATTAATTCACACAACAGTTTCTCAGGTCGATCAACACCGAAGCAGGTCAAGGATTTGGCATCCCGTTTCAAGTGGTGTCCACACCCCAGCAGTTCATTCATCTACATGGATACGGGTCATTTGGGTCAACTGAGGCGCTGAACAATCACAAATGCTCTACGAGGACTTTTTTTCTTCCGGGTGCGACTGGAAAAAGTCAACCATTTACCGGTCGGTGACCAACACCTTTGAAAACAGGCGCACCGGAAAAAGGAAGTGGCTGACCAGGCAGCAAATGTTGCCTTTCTTCGACAACGATCCAGCCGTGGTCGACGCGGTGATTCTGCGCAAGAAATCGGACCCTGAACTTTGCAAGAACGAGATAAGACCACACCCAGAGAACCCGAGCGTAATGCAGTACCTGGTTCTTGTGGAGGATGAAGAGGAGGCCACTGAACGGGACAGGATCCTTGATAAGTTCATCATGTCAACGTCCAGCCGAGGTGGTGGTGATGACCCGTCAGGCTCTGAGGATGAGGATGGCGAAAGTGATGGTGAGGGCAGTACCCGTGATTCCCCTGAGAAGAAGAAAAGCAAGAAGGAGAAAAAGGAGAAGAAGAATAAGAAGGGAAAGGGAAAGAAGGGACAGAAGGCTAATCAAAACAAAAACTGGGTGTGTATGTTGAAGCTGCTAGAGTTTGCCCCTAAGTGTGTTGTTATTGGTTGAGGCGAAAAAGAAGGGTGAAGTCAGCCCAGAGGAGGCTGAAAAGGAAAAAGCTAAGGAGGCGTACAAGGAAGAGATCAAGAAGGTTAAGCAGGTTTGGTACTCATTGTGGCACTCCGTTCGCTCATATAGTTCGACCAGTGCATTGAAAACCTTACCAACATTAATCCACACCGTGCCACAGGCCATCAACTCTGTCAACGCAGGGATGCGTGCAGCCAATGAGAAAAAGCAGTCGATGTCAAGTCTGTCATTGACTTATTTAATCTGCGAGCTTCATGTGCCATTGATCTTGTTTTATCCTTTAGACTTTGAACAATCATGATTCCTGGACCCAGGGCGCCAAAGATCAAGGAGGCCATCGACAAAGAGATCGATGCCCTCACTTCGAACCTTGTGAAGTTGAGGGCCACTTTGCAAAAGGCCTTGGACGATGCGGCGCAGGACTCTCACTGGGCTTGAGTTGGAGTTCAATCATGCACATGGCATCCAACTTAACATTTACCATTTTTTGTGGTCCAGATGAAAGAGCTGGAGAAGCACCTCAAAACCGCTGTGGATAAATTGGCTGAGTATGATGCAAAGATGGAGCCAATCACTGGCAAGAAGAGGAAGGTTGAAAAAAGCTCCTCTTCAAAGAAAAAGTAGGTCAAACACTGGCCCGTGGTGCTTAACAGCTGTTGATCATTGGATGTATGTGCTGTATGCAAGGTTATTTATGAAATTTGCTTTTTGGGGCTCAGTGTCTTGGGGTATGTGGCCGGAATCACCCTTAGGACGCTGTGTGAATACATACAGCTCGTGGGTGGAGGCTTTTTCACTTAGCCTGGGGTTTCAATGGCACGCATTTAGGCTCATGAGTGATCGATCGCAAAGGCATCCAAAGAAACTGCGTCTGTGGATCTTGTCCTTTCTCCGATGTACACTCATGCACATTGAATCCTGGATGTTGATTTGGAGCCACACCAAAAGCCCCATGATTCCCTGTGAGCCCACTTCAATGATTGACAGCTGGGTCCCACGCAGGTGATGACGGTCGAAACCACCAAGTTGGCCATATGTTGGATAGCCTCGCTAGTGGAGTTTCTTGGTGGCATTATGTGTGGCTACAACCGGTACTCCTGGCAAGACAGCTAACATGGACCCTCAAAACGACCCCCATTTGGAAGCTGAGTTTCCTCTACAAACCAGTGGTTTGCAGCTTATATTTTTATGCACCAAAAATGTTGCGGTATCACTTCCTACTGCCCAGGCTTCTATCCAGAAACAAATGGAGCAAGCCACCGCCTGTTTCAAAGAGACTTGCCCAGCAACTCTTGTCGAAGTTTCATTGCGCGTGTGCGCACGCAATTTTGGGTAGGGATCTCCAAGGACACACCTGTGGGCTTGCCACCAGCCATTAAAAAGCTTGGATCATATCGTGGTGTCAAAAATGCTGCCAGAGACTTCCGACGGCAATTCAAACCACCTGTGGACTTGGGGTTGCAAACATGTTTTTAAGCCCTTGACATTTTGTCCTGCGCCGTGCCTGTAGGAAACGCTTCTGATAAACCCTGCAGGACATTGTTTGGGTGGAAACCAAAGTGAAGGGCAAACTTCGTGAAAGTGAGCCCGTATCCAAAGAAATCCCAATCATTCTACCAAAAGATTTGCTTCGCTATCTATTTGGTGAATTGGGTGTGTCGATTGATGCTGAAGAGGTGAGAAGGTATTGGCAACATGCCAGAGAATGTGGCTGCCCATGGGGAAACCTTTCCGACGGTGATCATCACATACCATGCGCTTTGTACGGTGACAGTGCAAAGTATTCGTACATTGGCGAGAAGATCACCTGTGTCTTCTTTTCCTTGCCGCTTTGGAACCCACGAGCAGCAAGATATCGCATATGGCTGTTGTTCGCACTGGAAACTTATCAAACGCTTGGAGGTTTGACCATCAACCCATTGTACCGCAGAATTGTGGAGTCGATGTGGGAGCTCTACTCTGATGGTTTAGAGGTTAATGGTAGAACCCTTCACTTCGCAGTGTCCGAGATCAAAGGCGACTGGGAATGGCACGTCTATTCAATGGGTTTGAGTCGGTCATGGCGAAACCCAAAATTCTGTTGGCGATGTGAGGCCAGCAAAAACCCATCACCCGGAGACTGTAGCTATGTTGATTTCGCTGATGCCCCTGGTTGGGAGACCACCCAACTCTCCCAAACGCAGTTCTTGGCCCGCTGCATTGACACAAGACGGCCTGGCGGACCATGTGCTTTTGATGCATTAATTGGTAATGGAAACCAGTGGAATACCTAGTAAGTAAAGATGTGTTTCCAAACCAGCTGTGCAGGTGCCTTCATCTTGCTTCCAAAATTTCATTATTCGATGATGCGCCACTGCAGCATGCACAACATAAACTTGGGGATTGCAGCGGTGGCCAATGGGAGTAGTTTGTTCCTTGCATGCTCTAGCTCGATCTAGAAACATGATTAGACCCAGTGTTGTCAGTCACAAATTGCTTTGCCCACCAAGGCTCCTATTGGCCCTCTTGGGCTACTTTGGAGACTGCGACAATGTGTCTTTGGCAGATCGGTTGGTGATTGCCTACAAAGACTTCAAGGTTTTCTGCCGCACGAACCGTGTCTTCAGCTCCCAACCCCTGTTCACAGTCAAGAGTGCAGCTAAGCTATACTAGATCTATTTAATTTGAACTGAATGGGGTATAATGAAGTCATCAATTTGGAGAACCAGGTATGGAAGGCAACATCTTTGGGGGCAGATCTGTCAGCAAAAGCGTACAATGCGCGCGTGATTACCAGCTGGCTAGCATCGTGCCTCCACATCGTACAGCAGCGTTCAGTCCCAGAAGGCCGCCTGTGCGGACTGTGGGTTTCTGAAAACGGCCAGCCTTGGCCCGACCATGAACTTCTTTTGCCTTCTGCAGTTGCTATGATTCTCATCCCATTTCATTGGAAAATAGGTTGTGGTCTAGGCCTTGGCATGTACGTACTAGATCATCCCCCAAGTCTCTCCTAATCAAGCCAAGGAATGCTTTGGCAAAGAATTTTTGGCTGGTGGAATCTTACCCCCGGTATTTGCGACCTGGCACTCATGGATTAGGATTTTATTGGATATATATGTGTCCCTCCAGCTGCATGCCATGCACATACATTCACTTTGCGAGGTCACCACAGCAAGCGGATGAAATCTACTCTTCAGGCATGACCTTCCTTCGTGCTCATCGGCTTCTCACTATCATCTCACAAAGGCGAATATATGGGTTCTTGACACACGGTTCTTCTTGTTTCACACGCGCTACTGTAGCTGTTGCAGGTGCCACCTGCTTTTTTGGAATTGCCTGCCTAAGCTCCATGCTTTTTGGCTGCGTATGCGTTGCAGTTGTGTGCAAACATGCACGCATGTGCGTGTGCATGTTAACGTGGCTGCTGAGGCCTTTCACCATCAGCTACTAGACTGTAAAAAGCAGCGTGCGGGCCTCTTCTGATAGCGCAAGTCAGAAACTATATATTTGTGTGACCTCGGTCGATGAACGGATTAGGCCTTAACTGGCGTTTCTTCCACAATTTCCTCGAAGAGGATCAAATGAAGTGGGCGAAATGTAGCTTGGCAATACATGTTCTCCAATGTTTCCACTCGTTGTGTTACTTGTGCCTCCAACTTTTCAGGTATTTGCCAAATTGCTTCTCGAATCAAACTGGAGAGATCAGTTCTTCGATCATCGCAGTTTAGGCGGGTATATATATATGCAACTAGTTCATGTGATGCACATGGATGCATGTGCGCAGGCTTTTGGCGATGAAGCGGCATATCCGAAGGTTGAACACGCGTGCCATGCAAGAACTCCGGAGATAAAAAAAAAAGCCGGACCGGCCTTCAGCATGAGCAGGGAGAGGGCAGCTGCAGCTGTTTGCATGTTCCGCTGGAGCTTGGGATGGCTTTGGGTTCGGTTTCTCGGGATGATTGAAGTGAAAACCAAGAGAGTGAGTAAACCACTCACTTTAGGTAACGTACATACTTATGTTAACGTTCGCGTCTACTCAGTCCTCTGGAAGGACTGGGATATGTTTGCCCAGACGCTCCGAACTCACAGCCCTTTCCTGGTCCCTATGAGACCCCACACCCCTCCATATGAGGATCCAGGTGGTAGATCGACTGGAAAGGTTGCTAGTGGAGGCCCAAGACCTGGTTTGTCTGTCCTACTTTGGCGAGGCGAGGCGAAGTCCCAATGACTCTGGTTTGAGCAGGTACATGGAGCAGCATGGTATACTATGATGGTATACTGTCCTCAGTACTGTACTTCTTTTTTTTGATCTTTTATGTGTACATAGTACATGGCCCAGTTCATCGCAGTACCAGCTATAGTGAGCTTCGGTCGCCAGATTATTAGATCTACCCAGACGCTCCGTTCACAGCTCGACTGGTCCCTCAAAACGTATAGGGATTGGTTCGACCCCAGACCCCTCCAGAGGATTCGGGTCCAGGGTCGCGTCTGGGTAATATATGAATTACGCAGTCCATCCTCCCACTTCCTCCACCCTTCTTGCCCCAATGGGCCCCCCTTCGAACGGAAAACGACCGACGACCACGACCGGACACGGCCAGATGGGTCGAGTGAGTCGCTGGAGCCCCGAACTGCGCGACCTGCTGCAGCAGTGCGTGGCCTACCAGGGCGCGCCCGGCGGCGTGCGCTGCTCGGCGTGGTTCTTCGGTGCGACCGGGCGTGGTGGATGCGTTCTGAATCGAGCGTGGAGGGCATGAAAAGTGGATGCGCATGAAGTCCCCAGCGTGGGCTCACATGATGTTCGTTGCCCATGAGAATCATGGCCCATGATTTCGCAACGAACCTGGTTACAGGTGAACTTCACAACGACGTCGTGAACACGGCATGCTCCCCCACCCCATGCGCCGAGTTCCGCGCCACCGCGGCATGCGCAGTGCTCCCCTGATGGAAGACGCCAAGAGGGGCAGGTCTTCCGATCAAATATCGATGAGAGTCAAAGGAAGGTCAGAGAGCCATAGATAGCCTTCAAAGGGGTAGCATAAACATGCATAAACCCCATATAAACCTCAAATAAGTAATACTGTTTTCTTTGGTCCTCTCTAGATCAAACAAAGCCAACGTTTCCCCCGTGGGAAAAACACCTCTGAGGCTTGGGCCTGTACGGCGATCACCATGGCTTTGGCCTTTGGGAGGTGCGACCACGACCAGCGTGGATGGGTGGAGGAGCTGGGACATCAGATGTTCGAACATGATTACTGTAAGTAAAAAACAAAGCATAACAACTTCTGGACTTTGTTGACTTTGTTGTGTTTGTTTGTTTCGTTTGTTTGTTATGTTTGCTTGCTTGCTTGCTTGTTTGCTTGTTTGTTTGTTTGTTTTGTTTATGTGTTTTTTCCCCGAATGCCTAGCGAAGGGCTCTCGTTTATAGTGGGGGTGTGAGGGTTGGACTGTGTTCGCCTCGCGTGCTCTGACTCGTCCTCTCTCGTCGTCGCAGGGTCGTCGCAGGGGCGCGGTGGGGTGCAGTGAGGCTAGGAATTTGTCCCCATTGGGCGAAGCTTTTGGAGACGTTTGTCGATGCTGGGTGATCGTCAGACTTGTCGCCCATACCGTGGTTTTGGGATGTTGGATGTGGGAGGATGAATTGAGGATGGATTCACTGCGCAGGCGCAGCGTTTGTGAGATCCGCAGCTTTCTGCGTAGTCACATTGGGATTGGTGTTTGGAGGGTGTTGAAATCATTCCAAACAGAAAGCTAAATGAAATAACCCACTGGGTGTAAGTTTAGCAAGTCAAGTTACTTGACGATTCTCTTGCAAAGCAGGAAAGGCGTGTAATCCCAGACTTTCAGAGTCAAAAACTTGGTAGGCGCGCCAACAACCAGAACAGCCCAAAGGTCCACGGACACAATGCGTACTTTTCGCGCTCACCGGACTTGTCCAAGCGCGTGGCCCCAGATCTTGCCGGATCTTGCCCATCTGTGACGCAGCATCAAGCATGTTTGCAAGTACAAGTCCGCCCGCGCCGAAGGTGCCGAGGGCATTGTGGCAGCAATCGCCAGAATCGTAATCGAAAGTGAATCTTAAGCTTTAGCTTGGGGGACGTATTTGTTCGGGAAATGCTGTGTTTTATAGTGGTTTTGAAAGATGTACAAAAACTGTACCAAACGTTGGCGATGCCGTTTGCGCCGGCCGGGGGGGAGACTGCATTATCCAAATCGCCGATGCATGCGCGACCCGGGGGACACTGCATTATTGACATCGTGGGTGTGCTCGTCCGTGTGTCCTGCCCGACAGAGATTCAGACTGACAGACCGAGATAGACAGACCGAGACAGACATAGACAGACACACCAAGACAGACACAGACCGAGACCGACAATTGACATCGTGCGTGTGTTCGTCCGTGTGTCCTGCCCGACCGAGACAGACGGACCGACAGACTGAGGCAGACAGACTGAGACACGCTTGAGCCCGGTTAACATTTCCTCCCGGCTCCGAGAGCACAAGTTGCTAGAGCGAAGGTTGCTGCCGAGCCAGTAGGGTGCTAATGACACACTTTTCCCATGTATTTCTGGATGTGTGTCTGTATGTATGTATTATGTCTGTATGCATGGATGGATGTCTATGTCTGTATGTGCGTGTGTATGTTTTCCCTTTACTCTGTGTGGGCGGTTTCGACCGCGAAGCGGTGTGAAATGGTGTGAATATACGTGAATTAACGTTGTATACATGGAGTGTTTGGGCACGATATTCCCTTTAGCTTTGTTTTCTTGAAAGGCTTTCCAGTTTCTTGATGGTCTTATAGCTACTGTAGATCATTTCAGCCGAAGGGGGGGGCCTTCGCCGCACTCGCCTTCGTTCGACGTGTACGGCGCAGGCAGCCGTGAGTCTGGCGTTCCACCAGGGCGACGACCAGGTAGCAAGCTGCTGGGCTCGCGCACGCGCGATCGACAATCTACGATGGTATGTGTCAGATTGTGGTTGGTTGGTCAGTTTTTGAACAAGCAGGTTCTCAGTCTGTTTTCAACGGAAGTGGTAGGACCGTTGTTTGGTGAAATACCAGCATTCACACATGTCCCATCCAGAATTGGTGTCAGATATTTTCACCGTGCTTAGGGTCTGCGGTTTTTTTTTTTCAGGAAACGCGGCTGGGTCAGCGTCCCATGTCACGGTGAAGGCACACGGTTCTTGGCCACCGGCCTGGCTACCAGAACAAGAGCACAATTTTTGTTTGAACCAGTTCCAAAACTTCAAGGGAGTGGATGAACCTCAAGGGAGTGGATGTTCGAACGGCACCGGAATTGTTTTTTTGTGTTTGTTGTTAACCCTTCTTGCTATAGGTAGTATTCTTCGTCACAACATGTCCAAACCAGAGATCCGAAGCCAGTTCCGTCCTCCATGTTGGGCCGTTCATGTGGTTTGCCGGGACACTCCATGGGATGGGAATAGGCGTATAATTACATTCTGGCTAGTTCCAACGACCGTGTGAAGCTAAAAACTATGTATAAACCCCGGGTCAACCACCCCAATCTATGTCAATGTTCTGCCAGTTCCAGACAGCTTGTGCCTGAGACATGTCTCTTTCCGACCGGCAAAGGCCGCTACGGCCCAACGAGGTGCCGTGGGCGACAGGCGCGGGCTGGGCGTGGTTGGGCGGAGTGAGGGGCCTTCGTTGGATTCCGGTGTTGGGCGGATCCGATTTTCTCGAGATAGATGGGTGAATCAAGGTGAATCCCCTGGTTTGGTCCCTGCTTCGAGCAAAGCCTGGCCGCCTGGCCACCTGGCCTACCATTGCCATCACTACCCAGTGGATCCAAGCAAACCACTAGAGCCTAGGTTGCTACCAAGCACTTGTTGTTTGACTAAGGATTTTTACACTACAAAGCCAGCCATGATGTGTTTAATGGGCGAACGGAAGGCCCGGGTGTTTGTTGCACAGGGGTGTCACAAGGGTGTTTGTGTCCGGCAGTGGCCGGCCATCTCCAGTCTTTGTGTCCGGCTTTCTACCCGAGATCAGATCTGTGGCATCAGATGTCATTTCCCATACACTCCATGTATGCCATATATATTGCTCACATTGACCCCCCCCCAGTCAACCACCCCTGGCCGTTTCTCGGCAGTCCGAACTGGCAGTCGCACGCAGACAGTAAGTCGTGTCTGGGTTTGTCTTTGACCTTGGTCAGCTTTCGTCACCGAAGCCGGGACCCGCCACCTCCGGACCCGCCAGGACGTTGCGGCACTGGTTCCTGCGGACGCCTGACCTGGGATGCCCCGAGGGAGAAAAGAGAGCCGCAGCCAACGTCATGTCGAGCGACAACGTCGCGAGCGAGCTGCGTTTCTTCACGTTGGACGATGTATGACTCCCTAGGGCTCCAACCATATTGTCAGAAGGTGGTTAGACCCCCCCAAACCCACCCCAACCACCTTCTCAGGAGGTGGGCCAGGAGCCCTAGGGACGAATCATGTCGATAAGTCCTAGACACGACACAATGACACTATACCCAGACACTCACTGGGGGGGCCATCTACTAGACCCAGACACTCCATGGTACTGGCATATTTATATATACATTGATCCCCAGTCAACCACCCCTGGCCTGATCGGCAGTCCTACGCCAGTCCCATTAGGAGTGTTTGGGAGTGGACGGGCCACATGGCCACAACTGCAACACATGGCCAACATGTTGCCTATACCATTTTGCAATAAAACTTTAGCCAAAACTACAAACAGGGGGTGAACTCCACTTCCGTTGCAACATGTATACTCAACAGCAAACAGCTGAGATCTCAGCCCGAAAAAACGGCTCCACTCGTAGAGGTTCGGTCATCGGTCGGTCTCCACCGTTGGATGTTCGGGTTAGACGAGGTTCGGTCACCGATGCCTGTGAACTTTCCGGACAACACGTGAGAAACAAGAAGCGCAAGAAGGTGGATGGTTCAAAAGCAGGTAGGACATCCTGCCAAGTCATCAAACTATATCAAACTATATTGCTGTTTCATTTAAACAAACTTGACACCTGACACCTTCTTGCTGGGGATCAGAACGAGAAGATTCAACTGACCTGTTCAAATCTTTTGTAGCCAAATCAGGGAAGCTTCAACGCGCCTCGGATAGCTTTACTATGCTTTACTACCTTTTCATGATATAGGTATCATGCTTTCATGCGATTCCATTTCTGAAGGGCAGTTCTTCCAATTAACAGAAAAACAGAAATCAGTTCATGCATGGAATCTCTCTCTCTCTCTCTCTTCGTTTTCTGTCATCCCCCTGAAGCTCTTCAGCTAAGACCCCCCCGTCTCTCCCAGGCAGACTCGCCTCCCCACCGACACACCCAACCCGTGCAGGGCGGGCTCAACCATCCGCGTCGCGGCTCCGGAGCCGCCTGAGGTTGGTGGTTTTCAGTGCGGGTGGAAGAGCTGAGGCCCGGCAGCTTCCAGGACCTCCGGTGCGGCGCCGCGACAGTGACCGCTTTTTTGAGCCGGCCGGCCGTTGTCCCGTTGTCGATGCCGGGGCGTGGGCCTGGAGGCGTCCGGTGTTCAGAAAAGCTGGTCACAAGGGTCTTTTCCATGGATCTCCCCAAAGAAGAACTGTTGGAAGTTGGTTGGTCCTGCATGGAGGAGGACCTCCCATTTCGACTCCCCTTTATGATGCAGTACCGGCAGTTCGATCAACGACGATCGACGCACGGCTGGAGCGAACGACGGAAGAGACGGACGGATCGATGCACTGCAGGATCAGAGAGGAAGGGAGAGAGAGAGAGAGAGAAAGATTGTAACTCGGAGTTGAATTCTCTGAACAGAGAATGGTAACTCGGCAGAACTCAAATCTTAACTTGATGAAACTTGGATTTGAATTGCCTAACTCCATTGTTCGTCAATTGGAATGTCACTTATCGAAGAGTCCGGGCCCTCAGTGACTGCATGTTGTTTTTGGATGTTTTTGGTCCCTGCCAATTCAGATTCATCTTGTAGAGGCATAGGCCATCGCTATTAGGTTGGAGGCCATCGCTAGTAGAAATGTGGCCAACTCCACTCTGCTTCCAAGCCACAAAGAAGTGTATAGCTTGAACCTGTAACAGTCGGTATTAACAAGAACATCACTATCTTGGAGAAAGGCCTGGAACCCAACCAGCTGTTGCTGGTAACAGGATATACACAATGTATATATATAGCAGCTGCATGGTTGTAAAACGTCGCCCTTTTTTGTCGCCCTCACCCTCCATGTGCGAACTTGTTCCATTATCAACTCACTCAACCTGACTGTCTGTGAGAGATTCCTCTCATGTACATCTATCTATTAACCATTCTTTTACCTAAGGGTTTTCCACTACAAAACCAGATCTACTGGTACTTACAGGGTAGTACCTCATGGTAGCTACTACCATTGAGGTACTATTTTCCCTTATGTTATTACAACCAGTGAGGTCGTACACCATTAAAGAACATGGTTCTCAGTGACTTCCACCTCACTCTCTCGCTGCGAGGATGGCTTGGCCTTAGGAGTCACCACCTGTCCACCGAGCCGACTCAAGGAGCCGAGCCGAGCACCGCTCCGCGGTCTGGGCGGAGGAAGCGCTTCCGACTCAACTCCAACTGTTCCATGTGGCTGGAAGATGGCCTGCCAACTCTAAAGACCAGCGGAGTTCATTCTTCTCAAACCCCAAAGGCCCCCAAACCCGCCACTCGTGCGATGTTTTGATATTTGACGCTGCGACCAACAGCACAGGTGATGACACCCAGTCCAATGCAATGGGAACATGTAGCTGAACCATCCGCACCGCCGAGCCACTTCGGCTCCGGCTCCGGCGAAGCTCCGTCCGGCTGACCCCGGGTGCAGGAGTTGCCATTGACCATGGATGTGCCTTGGAGCGTTCGGGAGCATGAAGGATGAAGGTTGAAAAGCTGTGAAACACCATGAAACACATGTTTTTTTTGATGGGGTTGTCCCAAATCTGACAGGTGTGGGTGGATTCTGGACGGTCTTGGTTGGATGCTTCTGCGATTCCACAAGTCAAATCCTGACGGGGCAAGAGCATGTTCCTCCAAAGACCGTTCGTTTTTTGAACTGGATCCATGCCGTCCATGCACTGTCAAGAGGCCCCACAGAAATCTTGCTGGCGAAATGCTCATGTTTCGCATCAGCTGTGGAGGCGAATGGAGTGGCGCTGTAGAGCAGGCCAGATCGACCAACGGCCTAGCACCTACTGGAGACTGTTAGACTTACTGGGCTCCATGAGAGCAGCATGCCGGGAAGGGGATCGGCCAGGCAGGAGGAAGATCTACTAGCGGTGGCCGCGTGGAGAAGTCGAAAAGTCGCCCAGAGATCGACCTGACCGAAACACCCAGAAACGAGCAGATCGACCTGAGGAATCAGAATTGAGAAGGACCTGAATGACCTGATGGCCACCAACGACGGGCATTGGATGTGGCCGTACAGAGATTGAAGAGCTTTTCAACCACTGGAATCAGGGATCTCTACTTAGAGTTGATTGTTCCAGAGGGGGAGCAGAGAGCTTACTTCAGGCAAGAGATGAAAGCAGCGCAGCTGGAGCAGAAGTAGCTTACCACCCAGCTAAACTGCATCAATGGCCCCGCCGGTGGAGCACCAGGAGCAGAAATTTGCGGTTCCCTTTGTCTGGGGGTTTGCCTCCAGGGTTTTGGCACATCAACATACTTGAAACCATGGGCTGCGTAGTGCTTGCTTCAAGTAGCCAGCTTTTTGTTCACCATGCTTTCAACCAAAGGTTTCGCCATACTGTGCAACAGGGAATGTATATAACATTGGCTTGGGCCACAACCACACAAAACACTATCAGCTACACGCGCCAAAAAAACTCGCACAGCTACACACAGCTACACAGCGTCACTTCCGTCGCAAGAGTGAACCGTCACGACGTCACACGAAGTGTCCTACGAAGTCGCAGCGAGTGTCCAAGGCCCTCGGCCTTCGTCGACCGGCCGGCGGACTGAAGGACGAGGGACGAGCCAATGAGGAGTCGACTGGCAGTCGGGGAACAGCGGCAGGAGGCAGAGGAACAGAAAAGAAGGGCAAGTACAAGTAAGACGAAGGCAAATTGGATGGACAAGTACAGTACAAAAGGCAAGATGAAAGGACAAGTACAGTACAAGTGGTAGATAAGAAGATGTTGAGTAGGTGAATGAATTCGCCAGGCCCTGAGGGAGGCACCGGAGGTGGACAAACCCCGATAGGCATGGGCATCGCAAGCACATGACAACGATCCTGAAGCATGGAAATCTTGTGGAGATGTATGAGCTTAACTCCAACAGTGCTTCCAACACAGACAGCTCTGACTACCACAAGCAATGGGAAAAAATCAAGCAAGCACAGACACAGAGGCGCGCCCCAGACATCTGGGTGGCGAAATGCTCATCGTTTCACAGAAAAGTCTCTCGTCGGGGGGGAAGTTGGTGAGACACCGCATTGTAGCTATACACACATTGAGTGAGCAAAGTGAATCAGCCGTGGTGGTGGTAACTGCCCAAAACACTCCTTAAAGTCGCCGAAAGAAAAACCAAGAAGCCGTGAGACCCTCGCCTATGGTGAGATGGTGATTTCCACTTAAACTAGCACGTCCCGCTCACAAATATGTCCTACGAGATGAATCATATTGAATCATCATCTCAATGTGAGTGCTTCAAAAGGACATATAAATGAATACAAGTGACATAAGTATGACTCGCCCAAACCAAATTGCATCAAGTACAAAATGCTTAGACAGATGTATACACGCAATGTCATGCGTATACAAGCTTCAGATTCTCTTGCAAAAATATTAAAACAGAAACATGTACCACGACCCCCAAGGGCTGGTTAATGGACACCCCTTGACCTCTAAGGGACTATTACTGCGATTACTGGACACCCTTTCCTTTGGTATACGTGGTGGTGTGTGTTTTTGTTTCTTAATTGTCAACCTTTACTATCGGGATGATTGAACCACAAAAAGAAAAGACCCCACTGACTCAATATAGATGTTTCGTAAGTTGGGTGGTTACACCGTGCCTCCATCGTCAGCTGTCCGGGTGGCGCCGCTCCACCGGCCGTGCGTTTCGGGGTCCGCCCGTTCGCCAGTTCGGACCATGGAACCGAAGACCCATGGGAAGAAATGCAGGAGGTAAGGTTCGGTGACCAATGAATTTATGAAAAAAGAAACACGGGGATATGTTTTGGCGCCACGATCCCTTCGATCCCCCTTTGATCCTGGCCTGGCCACGAACGTGGCCTGGCCTTGGCGACGTAGAAAAGGTCTTCACGTCCAACACTCGTCTCGTGACGCCCGCCGACTCGGGGGAGCGGGTGACCGGCCTAGGAAGTGGATCCTTGTTGGCTCTTGGGCTTCGATGGCTCCCCGGCAGCGGAACAAACACAGAAACGTGCCACGCGATGTCGCGACAGCGCGCGGAGCCGCGGAAGGGTTTAGGAGAAAGCGAGACGGGAAAGCGAGGACGAACCTAGCGTTTGTTGGTGTGTCCACGTGTCCTTTTTGGATCAAAGGAGGTCGGTCTAGTGAGCCATCTAGATTTTAGATGAATAGTTGGAACTGATTTGATCCGACGTTTGGTTTTGGATTTGATATTGTTTATCGGCACTGTCCAATTGGCCATGTTTTTTGGCGGAATTGTTGTGGTTTGCATGTGAGGAGACATGTTTTTTTTCCAGCTATCATGCATCATGCACGGCTTGGGCCGGCTTGTCCTTGTCCCCTTGGAAGACTAAGAACTCCTCAGTCTATAGTTTCTGTACTTCCATGTTCGTTGGATAGTAAAAAAAATTTAAGGCTTACGCCGGACAGCTGTTTTTGCATGTGGTGTTATTGGGTCGTTGAGGACATTTTGTCCAAGGCCCACGGGAGGTTGTTTGTGGTCATCATGGGCCAGTGAAGTGGCTTCTCACTTGGGATGCTGCCTTCAACGTCGTCTTTGGACCAGCACCTCTTGCTGTGGAGGTCACGGAGGCATTTGTCTTGCCGAAATTCCTCCCAGCTATTGCGAACACGACTTGGGCTGTCACGCGCCATGCGTGTGATCTGACCTACTTTGTGTCAGAGATGGTTACTGATGTTTGGGACGCGCCTGTAGTAGCCTTTTTCGTCTTTCGAGATGGAAAGCTCTCCCCTGTTGGCGGCGCCCGAGTTTGTACTAACGCTCTGCTCACGAATCGATATGTCGTGAACGCTCTTTCGCAAGGACTTTACCATCCCCTATGGGGTCGTCCATCTCAAAGCCAAAAAAACAATGGCAAAAGGGCCGTACCATCATTTCCTACTACCACTCCATGGCCGCATCGCTGCTGGCGGGAAGATGTGTTGCTTCTCGCTGCTACAAGTCCGTCAAGTCGGTTGAAAAGATGGTTGAAGTTTCTGACCTCACTGCTCTTGGCCCTGGTGTCAAGAATCTCCTTAAGTACCCCAATTGGAGGTGACTTCTGTCTGATCAACCTGCCAGCCAAGTTTTCTCAGCTCGGAGTGAAATCTGGCGGTCGCATTGGCTTCCAGTGCAACGCCAACGCCGTTCAATCAGGTTTTTATACCAAGGGAACATTTGGAATTGCCCAGCCCACCACCCTTTGCTGATCCGGGCGGACGCCCTGTCGACGACGCAGCAGCAGTTGGTGTGTCGTTACCTACGGTTCTGCGAGTATCTGTGGCAGGAAATGGCAAGAGACTTGGGAAGCTCGCCGACAGTGGGCTGGTCTTTTTGTTCGAGGAGAAGAGAAGCACGCGATTGGCGGCCCATGTTGGGGCCATCTTGAGACTAAGATAGGTCATCTTGGGGCGGTCTTGGGCCATGCCGGAACCATGTTGGGCCAGCTCGGCAACCATCTTGGGGCACATATTTTGGGCCGCCGCTGGTTTTCGAGTTAAGATGCCGATTTTTTCCGTGCCGGACCACCCCCAAGAGCCCAAAACACTGTAAAAACCGTGGTGTTTGAACATCGGCAAGACTAAATCCACGTCCATCCACGCGCACAAAACCACGTAAACCTGGGCCCAGCTTACACCCATCTTGGGCCTATGTTGGCCTATCTAGACCCCCACGTTGATGCCGTCTGGGGCCTATGCTGGCGCATCTTGAGGCTATCTTGGAGCTATGTTGGGCATATGTGGGACCTATGTTGGGTCATCTTGGGGGCCTTTGTTGGGCATATGTGGTGCCTTTGTTAGGTCATTTCGGGGCACATTTTGCACCATTCCCGAATAACCGACACCACCCTTGCAAAACCCACAGCTTTTGCATTTCTCCATCTTCGACACGTTGCATCTTCCGCGCACACAACCCTGTAAAACACAGTGTTTTCTGCACCTCACGCACACAAAACACCGTAAATTACGCGACCTGAGGTGAACACGGGGTGAACACGGGCTCCCGAAACTCAATCCCCAGGCTCCCAACTTTCGGCTAGACAACAAGACCTGTATTCCCTTGCGCGCTCACCCTTGTTTCAACCGGGGTCGGCGGATTATAGAGCGGGTCAACTATGTAAGGGGAAGCACAATGAAGCACACGTTCGGTCAAAAACCGCGTACTCACTGGGGCGATACTGGGTTCGGGGCTTCGGGGGTTCCATTAAGTTTCTCGATGCGTTCCGGATGTTTGAACCTCCATTTGTCCGTTCTTAAGAGTGATCGAGAGAGCGAAAAAAAACAGTGGAAGCATGTGGTCCAAGACCTGAAAACGACGTGCCCTCTTGTTGGGTGTTGTGCACTGACGTTGATCCATTCTTCGGGAGCACGGGATCATCAGCCTCAGGTATTCAGGAGTTGGGACGTTGGTATCCTGTTGATGGAACCAAGACATGGCGCTTCCCAAGCCCAGACAGAAAAACGCACGCCTTCCTTAATATACCCTCGCGAGCTGGTGGTGCATTTAGGAAGAGGGAGGCTTTGTACCTGGGTGTTTTGGGTGTTCCAGAGGATCGGGAAGTGGATTGTTTGTTTCTTTTGAGATACTTTGGAAGTCATTGACATGGAAAGTGGACGGCATGGATTGGATGACCATGAAATCCTCTACAAAACAGGCGGTGAACTCCACTTCCGTCTTAGTGACTCGGAGTGTATGCCATTGTAGGGAAAGGGATTGCTTTTGACAAGCTTGAACCCCTGTGAGGGTCGTAAAGCTGTCTCTCTTTGTAGCCGGAGGCCGGCCTCAGGGGCCCGCCAGGCGGACACTCCCAATCTGGTGAAGCTTTGCTTCCACCAATGATCGGGTTAAGAATTGAACGTCTGAACTTATCATGCCCCATTGCAGAGTCCCATGTGTTCTTTTTTCCCTACCTCCCTTCCTGGGTGGTAGTTTCAGACATGTTTAACCTCTACGTACTTGGGTTGTTGGATTCCACTGACAACTATTGCATACGAAGTGGGTTAAACTCACCATCTTGACGCTTCTTCAGCGTTCCCTCGTCTTGCTTGCCTTGGGCGCCAGCGCCTCTCAGGCGTCGAATGGGATGGCGCTCAACTCACCTGGGGCCCCGCCAGTTGGAGCCCAGCCACCCTGAAGGCACGGGCGCCAAGCGGAGCCGCCCTGGCTCCAAGGAGTGGAAGCGGGAACGGCCCCATCGCGCATCGCGACCGAGGATCGACCGGCCTTGACCCGTCGCGACGGCAGCAAAGGACGTCCAGCAGGTTGGTCATAGATGAGGTGTGTTCTTTTCGTTCGGAGGCCATGTTAAAGTGCGGAAGACGTCGCGATTTCAGCTGCCAAGAGTACCGAAAACCTGTTCCTGAAACCCTGTTGACAGGGAGGTTCCAGGTGTCAGGGATGATTTGGACGCCTCTTCACCTGCGCTTCGTGTCTCCACACGTTTTACACGTTTTCGGGCGATGTCTCGACCTGTCTCGAGGTGGGGGATGTGGTCGGGGTGCTGGTGACCCTGCAGGGCGAGCTGCAGGCGATGGATGCCGGGTTGACCGATGGGGGTGGAGAGGGATGGAGGAGTTAGAGGGGGATTGGAGGAGGATGAAGTGAATTTGGCACTCCTAGGTGACTTACAGACACTATGGAAAGTTTGGGGGTCTTTGAGAGGGTTAGGTGTACAGATCTATGTCATCAGTGTCATCATCACGTTCTTTCGTTGGTCAAAGTGAGGCATTTGGTAATGACATTTCCGAGCGGGCTGAGTGCGGAGGGCCCTATGTTGGCCAATCTAGAATGGAACAGTTTGCACATATTCTTGCTGATGTTTCTACTGAGTTTGGGTTCAACAGTGACCATAAGTGACTTAATGAGTGACTCAAAGGGTGACGTAGTCAGCTTTCCTTCATGCTCAGGGTCCCTCTTTGGGGATTATGAATCTCGAGCTGTTTTGCCCCATGGTGGATCCACTGAAGCGCAATCACGAGCGCCCTTCCTGTCCAGGAGTCTCTAAAACAGCGGCCCTTCTTACAGGGTGTCACTATGGTCTTCACTATATGGGTAAAGATATAGGGGACATTGTACATAAATTTGTGTTATGATTGCAGTGTATTAAGTTTGGCATTGCAAAGTTTTTTGGTGAAAAGAGATCACATCGTTCCCTTTTGTACCTTGCTTTATCCGTACCAGGATCCACTCAAACCAAATGGTCTAGAGACAATTTGGGAGGGACCTCCATCACCCTTTTGTTCCCAAAAGCCATCCCGAAGTAAAGCTTTTCATGGAAACAAAAAGGATCATGTAGTGGGTCATGTTTGAGTGTTCACCTGAGATCTTTCACCTAGGTCATTACAAACACCTGCCATGGGACATGGTCTTAGGTGTTTGAGGCAGTCATTTCACCTGGCAGTCCCCCATTTCACCAGATCATGATCATCTTACTTGCTCAGGGGCAAGTCTCTATTCTGGTACTTGGACACATTCCAAGTCCAACCTTCTTCATTTCGGTGGATCCATATCAGTGCAAGGGCATGTGCACCCCGGTAGACACGGCGTTCGTTGGGCCTCACATCTCACGGTGGCAAACCACCCAACTCCCTGGACGTACATACAGGTATGTATTTGTCTAAGGCGACCTCCCAACCAATGGGTAGACGATGGTAGACTGGTGGTAGAGTTCCTTCTTCCAGGGGTAAGACAACGCCTGGAGGGTCTTCCTATTTTACTACCCAAAGCCTAACGAAAAAACCACCGTCTGGGGGGTCTACCCACCCTAAGGGGACCTATACCCACCCTGGAGGGTCTTCTTCTCTGCTTTCCTGCAGCTTTCGGCTCTGCATGCGACGGTCGCGCCGTGGTCTTCGTCTCGATGCCTTGCGTCGCGGCGTCTCCTTGCGCGACGCAGTGCGACACGTGGCCGTTGGGTCAAGGAGGATGTCGGGTCAGGCCGGGGGAGGGGAACGGTCGGCCGGGGGAGGCTTCAAGATGCTTCAAGAATCAGAAGAATGTCCAAAATCAATAATGGAGACTCTTGATTAATAATACCCCCCATATGAAGAGGATGTCCAATTGAGGGGAGCCGTTGAATCAAGAGTCCACATTACATACGTGTTGATGGGACATTCTGATGGGCTTTCCCGTGGAAGATCAAGCCAAGTTCCTTGTAGATCTTGTAAATGTTCTTGTTGTGAGCAACCTTCTTTAAGGTTGCGAGCCACACCTTTAAATGATAGGCTTGGCAGTCAGGTATATAGATCGATAGGTTAGATAGGTTTCGAGACCACAAAGTAGATTAAGTTCAAAGCTGCTTGGCCTCCTCGCTGCCGGGCGAGGCTGGATTGGATCGATGGTACTGGCAGCAACTCCAAAAAGATGCCAACAAAAATTGTCGTACCTGATGGATCTTCCATGCATTTCCACGCAAAATGTGTTGTTTCTTTGTTTTCTGCAGTTTCTTTTTTCAAATAGAAAGAGCAGAATAGCTGTTTATACATATTTGGAAGATCCAGATATATTTGTAGGACACAAACAGAGCAGTGTAGAATGTCAGAGAATCACCCTGTAGACTCTCAGACTCTCAGTTCATCTCAGTTCTGCTGAAGGGCAATTTGCTGCCTCGTGGCAAATCGTCGTCTTTCCGGGATTTCTGGATCCCAGGGTCTTCAGTTGAAGAACAGTTTGGGTAGATCCGCATACCTTCATAAACGAATGGTTTGGCTATTCTGGTCACCGGAATCGGTGTTGTTCAAGGTCTCCCAGTGAGTGTTAGCAACTTCCAGAGAAAGAGAGATCCTGGTGGTCCACCACTCTGCGCCATCATCCACTTCACCGGAACGCTGCGACGATGTCGACCGTGACGATGGCCGAGCGTAGCATCGCGTGCAGCGGCAGGGTGACTGGCTGCGCTTCGGCGCTTCGACGGCGACGCAGCGGTTGAGCCAGCTGGGGCAGAAGGTGTGATCCACCCTGGGTGGGACGCCTGGTGGAGCTCCACGGGAGCTCCAACATACCACTTATAGAGCAACTCCTCTTGTACGAGTCAGGAATTGTCAGCCTCAGCATTAAGAACCATGACCCTCCCTGCAACAAACATGGAAGTGGACCATGCCCTCCTGGAAAGACTATGAAAAGAGCCATCCCCGTGCACATCCGAAGGGATTCTAAGCGGAGACCAAGCCACATGTGGAGATAGAATTACACGGTCCAGGGGTGCCTACAAAGGTCATTTCGGGAAGATTAGGGTGCATCTCACAGTGCAGGCATCTTCCAGTTTCTGAAAATGTGGCCGACAAAGCTGCAAAAAGAAACAGTGAGGCCCACCCTGAAAACCATCCTCGCATTCACAGTGAGCAGGATCAGGTTTTGACGGGTTGTTGCTTCCCCAGATCAGCGTGTGCAAAAGTTCAAACTACATGTTATGTTTAGGTGTGTCCAATGTTGAAGCATGTTGAAGCATAATGACAATATGGCAGACCCATACTGGTTGTTGAAACAACGATGCAGGAAATCTCGTTTGGTTCTATTTGGATTGGGTATAAGAGTATCATCATGCAGAAAGGACAAGCTCTTTCTAGCAGGATGACTTCGGTCCGAATCTGCACCTTATGTTTGTTCAGAACTGTTGCAGACCATGAAGAAGACAAATGGCCTAACAAGCAACAGTTGGTCATTGCATGGTATACCGGACCATTACCGATGTGTGCGGCCTATTAGCATTACTTCTACCAGACCGATGCCTCTGATACCGAATGGTCCGAAGCATCGAGGCCTGGTCCGGAGACCTGGTCTTGCGAGACATCTGGTTGCAGATCCATGCGCGTCTTCCGCCTCCCACGACGTCGAGGTTTGCTTTGCTTTGTGTTCCAGTCGGAACGAAGATCCGATCCTTCAACCTACCCAGGAAAAGTGGAGAACCGTCCTAACCTTTTTTTGGGGGGGGTTGGTTTCCCCACTACACAAGACGACCGGTAGGAAAAGGCTAGACCTTCCACTGCGAACGCCACGAACGCAGGTGGGACAAGCTTTCAATGAAACCGCCATGCGGCGATGTCCCTTGGGGCGATGAGGGCGATGTCTCGTGTGGTGTCGTGGTGTCGTGTCCGTCACTGACCGGGGGTGACGTGACCCGGCGTTTCAAGACGTTGGAGTGTTATCGTGGTACCCCAAATAGATAGAAAAAGTCAATCCCCACATAAAGAATGTGTGGTAATATAATTTGTTTGGTCTGGACCTTGGGATGTTTCAACTCAGCAACGAAGCCCAAGAGATTGAACCCCAACGTCCGGGACGTCGAGCGTCGTAGACGACCGTTGGGGGAAGTTCCTCTCTGTGTTGACACGGCCTGCGTCGGAGCGGCCGGCGGTGATCGATCGTCGGGGGGGGGGGGGGAAGTCGTCCAAAAGGCGACTTGATCGTCTTGATGAAGGGGGACGTGTATTTGTTTGGCTGGCTGACTCTTCTTGTATATAATAGATTGTGATGGTATGTGATGGTGGTGGTGGTGGTGGTGGTGGTGGTGGTGGTTCTTTTTCAGGTGGCATGTGATTGCTAGTAGGACAATGACACACAAGAACGTGCATTTCATTCTGCATCTTTCTGAGCCTCATGAGACCTTGTGGAACCCCACATGAGACCTAGCTGTGTTTCTGAGCCTCATGGAGGTTCCGGTGACACTCCATTCCTGAGAGTCACTCCATTCCAATTGCAACCTTAAAACCAACTCCTCACCCGTTCGTAGCTATGAACGGACGCTATTAGCTGGAGCGTACGCAAAATCGGTTGGACGCAGGACTGCTAGTAGCGATGCCCTTGTTGCAATCCAACTCAAACTGTTTGGGGCCTCGCGGGACGCGGGACTCGCCCGTACGTGATGGGAACCGGTGAAGCCATGCCGATGAATCAAATCCGATGCATCAGGTAGAAGAGGTTTTACTTCATCATCATAAGGCCCTAGAAGTCGTGGCCCACGATTGATTGAATAGCCTTCATCCCGAAGAACCGTTGTTTTACTATGCTTTTACATGAGTTAAACACTATTAAAGCCAGATCAACTGTTTTGAAATTGGTCTTTGACCTCCAGGGGAGAGGTGAAGCCCATCACCCAGATATTCCAGGTGGTTCTGGAAGATTTGCCTCAGATCTCGACCGGGTCATCCTTCTCAGACTAGGCCGACCGAGCCACCCATTGTGACAACTAAAGATGTGGAAACTTTCATGCGAAGCGACCGTGAGCGAATGGAGCTGAGGTGTGGCTTGTGGGGAGTCCTACATCCGCGCGGGAATGTGGACCTGTGCGGAGTGTGCCTTGGTGGCACATGGTGGCACATGGTGGCACATGGTGACACCATGGTGACACCATGGGCCCCCTGCTCTTGGCCTGTGGAAGCGTTTGTAAGGTTGGAACACAAAGGGAAAGATTAAGAGATCAAGTGGTTGGCTGGAGTTGTTCTTGGCCAAGGGAAAGCGAGACCTGGAAGCTGCCACTTTTCTTGATATCGAGTGCATGAAGAAAAGCTTCAAGCCCAAATATATACTATGAGCTACCAATCAGCAGCGAGTGGATGGTTTTGGTTTTAATAGAAGATACAGTCCTTTCAGAGGTTCGATGGCACAACCCCCAACATCTTTTATATATATATATATGGATCCCCTTATAGGGGTCCGTATAAGCCACCAACATTGGGGCCGTTGTGCCATAGAACCTCTGAAACCACTGTATGATATTGTAGAATCCGGAATGGATTCTTCAGAGTATGGATGACAACCATTAGGAATCTATCCAGATAAATCCATCCAGAATATAGGGAATTTCCAACATTAATCATGTGTCATCATGATTCCCTATGATTGATGGATATCTCATCCAGATCTATTCAAGACGCTTCGCGTCGACAGCCGCCCACACCCCGCACGAACAGCCGAAGTTAGTGAAATGGAAGTAGCCATCTAGGCGCCAGGTTGGGGACAAGTGCAGCCATCAAGGCGCCTGAAAACCGTGTCCTCACCAGACACCCCTGGAGCGCAAGGCATCAGGCACATGACTTTGAAGTCTTTGCAAAACTTTTGCACCCCTTCAAGCCAGCGGTCAAAGTGAAAAGGTTGTTGTATTTGACACCTTCCTTCGTGCAAAATCACAGAGACCTCTGTGCAGAGCTAGCGCAAGTGCTTCAACTTCAAGATTGCGATACGATCGCCAAGCTAAATCCGGCAAGGGCCCGCCAGCTGGTCGTTCTTCGAAGCGATGCTGCTGATGAAACTTTTGACCAAGTGCGGATGGTTTTCTCGGGCCTCACTGAGGCAGTAGAGCATTGGATCTTTTGCTCAGAAGATAGATCTCGAAGTAGATCCGGCATTGCTGCATCCGCCAGCCGTTTCTAAGCGTTACCAGTCCGAGCCTCCCACTGTGTTGTGCGACAGCCATGTTGCGCTCCTACTTGACGGTGTGCGCTGTGATGGCAGCAACGGCCCAACCAGGACCAGCCGGAAACAGCTCGGGTGGGGGGTGTGGAGGCCCAAGTCCGCCGCCTGCTGCCCCAGTGATGGGTGCTGGGAGCGTGTCCAACCCAGCCACCAACTTGGCCCAAGCTATTGGAGGAGGGCCATGCAATGCCGCCGGTGAAGGACCCCCGCCGCCAGCTGTCAGTTTTGCAAAGGAAGGAGGGTGGCAAAGCGAGTTTCCTCCTGCCAGCAATGGACAGGAGCTACCCCAAAAAGGTCAGAGAAGGACCAACGGGAGGCGCCGAAGTTTAGTTTGCGGCGGGCGTCACCGCTTGCAGCGGGGAGAATTCATTCCAAGGTGGCCTGGTATCACCAAAAGATGAAAAGATAAAATGTTGGCACTGTTGCCTCCAACTTAGAATCAACTGCGGCCATCTAAAGGTAATAGAGAATGAAAGCAAGCCCAGACTCAGGCCACGTTTCCCAGACTCGGGGTAATTGGGATCAGCTTGGGTGAGACAACGTCGGCACTGAAGCCGCGGAGTGATGTAAGTTAAGGATGGAGAGACCTGACCGGATGCGCCTGAGTTGGACGAAGGGTGGCAAAGCCGGTTTCCTCCTGCCAGCAATGGATAGGATCAACCCCAAAAAGGTCAGAGAAGACCCAACGGGAGGCGTCGATGTTTAGTTTGCGGGTGGGCGTCGCCGCTCAGCAACTTCGATTGTCCCTCGTGCGTGTCATATGCGGTTGTGCGTTGCAGCGGCTCTCCAGGTTTCGCCGCCCTTGGCTCGAGAGCTCTGTGATCTTTGCACGTCGTGTCTATCGCGCACATGCCGCTGGTCAGCCAGCCTGCGGCCGTCGTGTGGGAGCTTCTCGCCTGGCTCATCAAAACAAAAGCGAGGGTTGGATCAGAGAGGTTTAGATCAATAAGGTTTTTTGTTCATGGGCCCTGTGTGTGAAAAGATCCTTTAAAAAGATAAAATGTGCAAACAAGTGCATTAAAGAGATCAAAAATGCAAAAATATGCAAAATATAAAGGCACATCCACGAATACTAATACAAAAACTTCTGTGCAATAAGAAGAGTGAATCACACATGCATAAATCAGGTGGCTGAAATCTTCAAAAAACACATGAACATGGATGGTCATATGTGTCATACCTTTAGACTGATAGAGACATATACCACGGACATGAATACATGGCTGCACTTCAGACGGAATCTGGCTATTGATTGTTTCTAATCTAATCAGAAATGTACATAAACATACATTAGTTGTAGACTATTTTTATGTCGGAAATGTGGTTCAGTATTATGTTTTTGCATTGTTTGTATATTGATAAATTAATGTCAACGTCGTATTAATCAACGGCCCCCCCCCTAGAAGGTCAACAAGGTCAACAAGGTGTGAGATTGGAGGTTTTGGAGATCACATCCCCCTAATAGTGGGGATGACCTGATGATGAAAGGGAATTAGTATTTGGAAGAATTGGAATGAAAGGGAATTAGTATTTGGAAGAATTGGAATGAAAGGGAATTAGTATTGTGAAAGGTATTGAAAAGGCAAAAAGAACAAAACAAATTAAACACATATATATTTAAGTAATTATATGTTTCCTGGGGGAACAGGGGGTAGACTAATAGGGGGGGTTCAGCCAAGCAAAATTTTTATTAGAGGGTGTTGACTGTGGAAATTCAACGTTCAAATTAGTTTATTTTTGGGGCCTGAACGCTGGGTAGACTAATAGGGGGGGTTGCCTAATACCAGGTTGACATTACTATATTGGTTCATTACAATGTGCAAAAATGTGCAAAATTGTGCGGAAATGTGCGGAATGTCCGGAAATGTGCAAAAATGTGCGGATTTCTGTCCAATCTTATGACTTTCAAACAATGCTTTGTGCTTGATCCGAAACATTTACTAGACACCATGCACATCAAACTCAGTCCACTCTCATCATCTCAGCACATCAAACTTAGTCCCTCAGTCCACTCTCTTCTCAAATGGAAGCAAGTTGCTGTGGAATTGTTCAAACGCTGAACTCATGTGACTGTGATAGCTGAGCAACATTTTCAAGCTTCTAAATGCCGTGTGCAAGAAGGACAAGTAAATGAGTTCATTGGCCCAATCCAATGCCAATCAAACGCTGGCCACACACACGAAGCGCATTTGGAACCATCCTTGGGTTTTAGTGTCCATCCTTCAGACTTTGCAATCAGCCACAGGCTCCTGATGTGAAGTTTTGGTAGATCTAATGATCTAACCCTCCCTGATCCATTCCTTGTTTTTTCATGATCTCAGCATGCATCCTTGCCACGCATTGTTTGGTTGTCCAAAAAACATAAAATCACACATTTTCACAGATAAACACATATAAACACATGTTTCAACATATTGTCACACTTTTCAACATATTTTCACACATTTTCACTACCATAATTTTCTGAAACCTATCTGATCTAGACCTCCCTGATCTAGACCGCGACTTCGTGTTGGGGACTGGCTGCCCGCAGTGGACGCCGTCGGATCTTGCATCGCGCATTCCACGCTGGCGGCGCAGCTGCCGCAATATTGGGCCCAGGTCGAAGGGTGCATCGCAGAAACGCGCCGGCACTTGGACCTCTTCGACGAAGTTGGGGTATACTGACGCCATTCCTCCTGGCGCCGACACGCCGGTGAGTGGCCATAGATTACAGTGGAGCTCCATTTGGCATCGCGCGTCTGGCGCGCCGAGCGTTCAACTTGCCGTTGGACCGCTTGGGCGACATGCGGCGCTATTTGCGCGACTAGGCGCCAGGTTGGCTGTCTTATGGCTGCGTTGGAGCCATCTTGAGACCAACTTCGTCTACCTTGGGGCCCATAATGGTGATACAACTTCGGCATTGTGGCAGAGGAAATTGCTGTCAGTTTTGCAAAGCAAGGTGGGTGCAAAGCCAGTTTCCTCCTGCCAGCATGGACAGCAGAGCAACCCCAAAAAGGTCAGAGAAGGACCAACGGGAGGCG